GCCTTCCGAGGGAAACGGTGGGGGCGAAGGACCTGTCTGGTTTTAAGATTAAGCTAGATAAGTTTATGGAGGGACTGGTCTAATGGGATAACGTGATTTTAGTCAAAGGAACAGCGTGCCATGGCCGGTAAATAGTATAATGGCTAATGAGGGACAGGCTGGAGAATCTTGCCTACGTGCTCAGGGTTTTACTGATCGCCATATTTGGGGTCGGGAAGGAATTTTCCTCCAGGGTAGATTGGCAGAGGCCCTGGAGGTTTTTCGCCTTCCTCCACAGCATGGGGCAGGGATCGCTAGCTGGAGGATTCTCTGCTAATTGAAGTCTCTAAACCACATGATTTGGGGACTTCAACAGCAGAGTCAAGGGAAAGGGTAGGGACGGCTTTGTGGCCTGCATGATGCGGGAGGTCAGACCAGATGATCATAATGGTCCCTTCTGACCTTAAAGTCTATGAGTCTATGATCTGAGTATTGGGATTCATCTGCTTTTCTATATCATGCTATTTTGTACATTCAGCTTGTCTTGATAGCACCTGTATTTATGAGAGGTATTGTCTTCCTTCCTCTCTTTTAAATGCTTCTTGGATGAAGCTGTTAAAATAAAAGCATTTCATAATCACTAAACGAGAGTAAAAATACATGGCTTTGCACATATCTCCCAGTATTTTAACCACTTGCCAATAGACTTTCTTTTGGGGTCTAGGCTCCATTTTGAGTAACCCTATGGATTTTCCAGTTGAGACTGTTCAATGAATGCGAATGCTATGGCTAAATTTTTCAGCTCCATTGATGAAAATGAGAACTTGCTCCAGATTTCTAGTAGATTTAAATTAAAATGGCTCAATTCTAACTGCTCCATTTACATTATTGGCGAAGTGCATAGGAGCTTGTTTTAACCACCGCTTCTTATTCTCAAGATTCCTTTCAAAATTTTAAAGACAGGCATTAATGGGGTTTAATGTGTTTCTTCCTGTTGAATCAGTATTTTGATCTCCAATGCACTGACATTGGGATTAATAATGAGGATACAGGCGGCACCACTTGGGCAGTATAATAAGAATTATATGGCACCTGTCTCATATTTTTGGAGTTCTTGATTTCTGAAAGAGATCCCCCACATTCAAAGATTCCTCAGATAATTTTGTCTCAAGCCATCCAAATCCGATCTGTATTTTTTGTTGTCTTCTCTTCTATTATTTATAGAAACCCACCTATTAAGTCTATTAAGTTCATTTGCAGCTGACTCCTACTCAGTCTGCTCAAATTTAAAATATTCTTGCATAATAATTCATTTAATAGCACACAAATACATTGTAGAACAATAAATTATTACAGTAAACTTTAAGAGACATCACAAACCAAAAGCTTCCAAATAAAATAAGGGGAACTCTGGCAATACAGCATGTTTAACATACTTTCTTTTCCCATTTCCATAGTTGCATACATGCTTCTTATAGAATAAGTGTGTATTTATATTTTGGTAGCCTAATATTTAAAACGCATTAAGTCCTTTAGTTGATGAGGAACTGGAGAAGGATAGGTTTCAGGAGGGAGCTAGTTTGAGATAGCAAAGGCTTGGGAATACAAGCTGGGGCCAGGCTGCCATCACATAGACCTCAGCATGTAACACTGGTCTCTCATCATGCTTATTAAAGATCTCTTTCCTCAAACTCTGCTGGCCAGCTGCATCACATGTTGCTAATGAAGCAAATCACACATGGGTTATTTGGAATAATCTTTAAACATGCATGTAAACAACTTATTTCCCAAGACTGTTAAGATTGAACAGATAGCTGAATCATTTAAATAATGTTTCTAAGTTACACTTTATTTTTACTGAATTTTGGCTGCAACAGCAAACTTCAAATTGTTTTTTTTTTAAACACCTACTCGTCAGTTATAATAAAAAAAAATCCATATTACAGTTACTGACCACTTCTGGATAAAATGCCTTTTTTTTTTTTAAAGAACTCCATGATAGCAACAGTTCTGTAAAGATTTTTTTCTGCCTGCAGAGGGAGCACTGGCCCCTGAAAACAGACTAGGATTTTGTAAAAAGGAAAACATATTTCTATTAGAGACAAGGTGTGTGCAGTAATATCTCTTATTGCAGTGGTTCTCAACCAGGGGTCTGGAGCCCCCTGGGAGGCTGTTAACACATTTCAGGGGGTCCACCAAGCAGGGCCAGCATTATACTCGCTGAGGCCCAAGGCAGAAAGCTGAAGCCCCACCACATGGGGCTAAAGCCCAGAGCCCTATCACCCGGGGGTAAATCCGAAGCCTGAGCAATGTAGCTTTGCTGGGGGCCCTGTGGCATGGAGCCCAAAACAATTGCCCTGCTTCACGCTGCTGCTGGTTTTTATATGCAGAAAACCAGTTATTGTGGCACAGGTGGGCTGTGGAGTTTTTACAGCATGTTGGGGGGAGGCCTCAGAAAGAAAAAGGTTGAGAACCCCTGTTTTATTGGACCAGATTCTGTTGGTGAAAGAGACAAGCTTTCAAGCTGAAACAGAGCTCTTCCTCAGGTCCAGGAAAGATACTCTGTGTGTCACAGCTAAATACAAGGTGGACAGGGCCGGCTCTAGGCACCAGCAAAACAAGCTGGTGCTTGGGGCGGCACATTTTTAGGGGCGGCATGGCCGGCGCCAGAATGCCGCCCCTAAAAATGTGCCCCGGCCGCCCTAGCTCACCTCCGCTGCTACTGCCAGGGCGTGCGAAACAGGTGATTCGCACGCCACTACTCGCCCTCCCTCCCAGGCTCTCAAGCCTGGGAGGGAGGGGGAGCAGCGGCGCGCAAATCAGCTGTTTCGCTCGCCGCGGCAGCTCGGGGTCTCCCCT